GGGAAAATTTCACAAGAAATCTACTGTGTGCAGATATTGTAAAATGAATGTCTTGGAAGATGAAAACCATGTACTGCTAATTTGTGACTATTATAGAAACATTAGAAGCAAATATATACCCAGTTACTTTACGAAACAACCGTCAAAACATAAATTTATCAAACTGTTGTCAACTTCTAATCGTATATTGATTGAAAATATTGCTTTGTTCATATACCATGCGATATTGAAGAGAAACCCACTCTGCTTTTGAACTTTGTATATACCTGTACTATGGGCCTGTGGCCTTCAGTTCTGAATAAAGATTGATTGATAGATGGAGGTAACCATGAGTTGTTTAATGACATAATCGGTATGCCTGAGGTGAGAACTACTATCTATAACGCTAACAAGGGCAAAGCGCCAGGCCATGACAATATCACTATGGAAGTGTTAAAATCTGAGAATATCGCAACTGCACTACATAATGTTTTAATTGTTTGTTTTACTTGTGGAAAAGTACCAAATATCTGGTCTAAGGGGATCATCAACCCGATACCGAAGAATCCACAATGGACCCTAATGGACCCTAATGGGTCCATTATCATACAGAGTGGTTACTGGACTCACTTCCAGCCGATATGTCTATAATCGAAGACTGTATCCTTGACTCCAAAGCATGGATGATACAAAGGAAGCTGAGATTAAATGACAGTAAGACCGAGGTTTTGCTGTGTGGATCACCCAGTAGCACTGCTAAGGTGGATGTGTCTTCGTTGGTAGTGGGTAATGAGAAAGTTCCTTTCAGTGATTCCGTGAAAGACCTTGGTGTTTTTCTAGACTCAAATTTATCCATGGAAACACACGTAAACTCTGTTTGTAAGTCATGCTATTTTCATCTCAGAAATATTGCTTCCATTCGTGATATTCTGACATTTGATGCAGCTCACCACCTAGTTCGTTCACTTGTTCTCTCACGTTTGGATTATTGCTGCAGTCTTCTTGTAAATATCCGCCAAGATCTATTGTCCAAGCTCCAGAGGATTCAGAACTCTGCGGCGCGATTGATTTGCCGAGTCAACAAGCGCAGTCACATTACACCATTGCTGATACGCTTACATTGGCTGCCCACGAAACAGAGAATAGAATATAAAATCCTCACTCTCGCTTTCAAGTGCCTCCATGACAAAGCTCCAATCTATCTGAAAGATCTCCTCAGTGAATATGTCCCACCACGGCTTTTAAGATCAAGTTCTAATTGTCAGTTGAATGTCCCCAAGGTCAGATTAAAGTCATATGGACATAGACAGTTCTCTTACACAGCTCCCCTTTTCTGGAACTCACTGCCTCTTCACATCCGACAAGCCGCGTCCGTGGAATCTTTCCAGTCCCAACTGAAAACTTTCCTTTTTAAACAAGCTTATGAACTTTAATCCTTTCTTCAGATCACTCTATCTTTTAGCGCCTAGAGAAATTGCCTTGCAGTTTGATTTGTGCGCTATACAAGAACACTTATTATTATTATTATTATTACTGTCACAACTTCAATATATAAGCTCTGCTGTGATGTATTGAATAACAGCCTGCAGTTATGTACAGAATCAAATAATATGCTCAGTGATTCTCAAAATGGCCTCCGCAAGAAACGATCAACTGTAGACCATGTGCACACACTCACGTTTGTTATAGAACCTCGTAAAACCAGCAAAAAGCCAACGTTTGTGGTGTCCAATGACTTCAAAAAGCATATGATTGTATCAATAGAGATATTCTCTGGGACAAGGTTGCAGCTGTCGGTGTAGGTGGAAATATATTAAGTGCCTTACAACCATTGTGCAAGGACGTTCAGTGCTGTGTGAGACTACATGGGGATCTAACGCCTTGGTTTGGGGGTGAATCGAGGATTGAAACAAGGTTGCTTACTCCCCCTCGTGCTTTTTAACTTGTTTATCAAAAACTTCAATCTTTATTCTTTCATACCGAAGAAAAGCCACAGACCTGTAGTACATTAATTAGTCATGTGTGGGTAGTAGAACATTCTTTCTGGGAATAAAAGCTTTGTAAATATCTATGGACAATCTTTCTAAATGTGTTTTACTCGAATTATTCATCAATGATATAAACTTATGAGTTTCAGGATGTACATAATAATATTTATTTAGATATCTATTTCTTAACGATACACATGCTGGGCAAACAAGTAAAGTGAAATTAATCTTCGATCTCGTTTAAGTTGCACATTTGACAGACTCTATTTTCTTTCTTAATTCCTTGGTATCTCCCAGTTTCAACGTTTAAATCATGCGCAGAGCAACGGAATCTCGCCAGTGAAGATTTTTATTTTCTTATGGTCAAAACTGAAAGATACTGTTCTGTATATATGGAATGTTTTATCATTTTGTAGTAAAATCATTTATTAGATAATAAGAGACTAGTTGACCAATTTTAAAGGAATATATCTTCAAGTCTTTGTTTAACTAAACAGACAAAATGAGAATGAGATTGTACTATTTGTTCATGCCAGGCATCGCCGAAGCCGATAGATAATAGCAAGTGTTTTATATTTGTTACCGTTTTCCATGGCTATCATATAGTATCATCATATCATAACATTTTCTTGGCAATCTGTGTGAGAGCATTGTTAATAATGTTAACCAGTATCTAATATTTTTTACATTTGATTCTACGTACAATCGATATCATCCACATTCTCCGTCAACTATACAAGTAGAGGTGGCTGTTTTCACACCCAGAAGTTTCCTGCATGCATGCAAATGGACTGTTTCTATAATATCATAAGTTTTAAAACCCCATACTTCTGCACCATATAGCAAAATTGGATATATTTTGGCGTCAAATGTTTTGAAAAAAGAGTTGTAAGACAAGTCGCCTAAAATATGTATATATTGTGTTATACCTATTAATATTTTCTTTGCTTGTATAGATGCCTGTGATGTGTGTACTGCCCATGAAAGAGGATTGGTAAAATGCACACCATTGTATTAATTGTAGAAGTTGTCAGTGGTTATACCTGCCTTGGGTTCCTTTTAACGGAAAAGTTAGATTTTAAGGCAATGACAGGTGAAGCGGCAAAATCTGCTAACAGGGCACTCGGGCTGCTTATATCAAGGTTTCAGTTATTGGGTGGCATGCACTATTATACATATACATATCCTCTAGCATTGCCTTTGGCGACATGCCCTGTTTATGCCGAATCTAATCACCTAATCGTCTACCGTTTTCCAATATCTATGCAGTTTCTCTCTCACATGTGTCAAATTCTCTGGTTGAATTCTAAAACGCAAATGTAGGAAACGAAAGCAATATCCATGAGGCCACATACTTTTCGATTAACCCCTAATAAGTGCACATGGATAGGGTTCAGTTTTAAGCATCTTCATAAATCGTGGTGAGCTGTAACCAATACGATATAAACAAACAACAGTTTTCACGCGTGAATAATAATTGTCTCCAAAAGAAATTATAGTGTTTGAATCGTCATAATTTCTTCTTTGGATGCAAAATCGCATTTCATAGAGGTTACATGCTAAGCACTAACACACAGTTTTTTTCTATTAATTTTGAAAGACCCTGCAAGAAAACAAGCCCACTGTGAACGTGGAAATCATGGCTATCACTGGTAGTCATGCTCGAACTGATCACAACAATCCAGCGTCTGTTGAGTACCACTACATTGACGACATCCCCGACTCCTCCTATCAACAGGCGATGGAAGAAAACCAACCGGAAGCCGAAAATGATTATGAATGCATTGCTGAAACCAATCCTGGTTATGATTACATTGAACCAATAAACGGTCCACGTACGGTAAGAGTTGAAGTTCTGTTTTTTGGTCAATAGGTCTCAACATTACTCTTGATACATAGCAATATTATGAATACCAAAATACGAAAAACTTTACTGGTAGTTCCTTTGTTTTTGTTTTAAAACATATTTAATTAATGAGAAAATGACACAGAAAATGAGAAACAATGGAACAACTGCAATAATTAAAAGAATCTTTTTGATTGACAAATATATGTTTGAACAATTGTAAATATGTTTTGATTTATGCGAAGTCAGATCTGCATTGCCATATAATAGTAACTCATAATTTATATTCATATTGGTAACACTGCGTAGATTAAACATCATGTTCTCTGTCCAGTATATAATTGACACTCAAATAGGTAATGATAAGAATTTTCACAAACATTTCCAACAGAACAACTTGTGTTATCTTTTATACCAACACGGAATAGAGCAATTGGCTACACATGTAACATAGTTTTGTAAGGATGATATTTGCATTTTTCGGTCCAAAATCAAAGTATTGAGGAGCGGTTTTATGTTTTATAACAATATTAGATTTGAAACTACTACGCAATGAACTTCACATTGTTTTTAAACAACCACTACTTGTGATCGTGACCAATGGCCACAATCGCTATTTTGGGCTGCAATGCTAACGGGTTCTCTTTGAACTGTCGTAAAAGCTGTTTCATTCTAAAGTTCACTTCCTTAACCAAAATTAACATAACTCATGACCAAAATATTATGCATAACGAAAAAATTAAACATATTTTCATGATACCAATTTTAGTTATAAAATTGAAATGCAACTAAGTCATATCGTCCTGATGACCTCGCTGACATCGTAAAAATATAAACTGTTTTTTTCTTGTTTCAGTTTTCGGAAAGGAAGTGTAAGAGGGGTATTGTTTTTCTCGTACCCATATTTGCTGGCGTAGTAGTGAACTTCATAGCTGGGTTCTTCTTTACGACCTTTCTGATGCATCTCAGTAGAGATGGATGGATGGTATTCATAGTGGTTAACCCGCTGGCAGGTATAATGTGTTGGAGATATGTGATTATAGTTTGTGCTTCTTTTTCAATAATTATTGTTCATCAATAGATCAGCGAGCGAAATAGGCATGGGATAGCTAGCCACCGCTTTAAACACTGTAGCCATAACTGGAATGATCCATCTAAGCTTAATGCACCTTAATGCATGGCCATCAACGTCATTTCTGTCTGTTGTGCCAGTAATTGTCAAGGAAAAAAGTGTTTCCAGATAGAAACTAAATATTTCATATTTCGCATTCAGTCACGCGGAGGAACCTGTCTCTAGTATGTTGTGTATTTCAGCTGCCTTCTGTGCCCCGCTTATGATCAGATATGGCTTCCGCAAGGTCGCTTTCGGCGGAAGTGTTCTACTCTTCTTTTCCTGTATCTCATCGTCATTGACAACCAGAGATGACATTAAGACAGTCACCACATTCATCACCATGAAAGGTCTGTTTTTAATCGATTTTCAAGTGAAACTTTCTATCTATTGTGGGCGTAATAATAGGCATATTGAAGGTCTTCTGAATCTAATGAATATGAGTGTCGTCAAAGGAGTAGTATTTGGAAATGATGACGCAGCTTAGTACACATTTGTGTTGTGTATGTAAAAAGGATAGTTGTATGACTCGCTCACTTAATATGAAGTTTTCTATCCCTAAGATCGTTCCTTTTCATCATACTACCAGTGAAGATCCGGATCTTCAGTAACCCATGCTTGTCGTAAGAGGCGACTAACGGGATCGAATGGTCAAGGTCGCTGACTTTGGTTGCCACATGTCATTGTATCCCAATTGCGTAGAACGATGCTCATGCTGATGATCACTGGATTGTCTGGTTCAGACTCGATTATATACATACCGTCGCCATATAGCAGGAATATTGCTGAGTGCGGCGTTAAACAACAAACCAACAACCAACCTCTTCATCATACAGCTTCTAAATGCCACTAAAAGAAGTTGTACTCAACATGCATCCATCCACTTCCATTCCTACCATCCTCCTCCTACAAAATCAGTTCATAATAAGGGTTATATATTGATATGAAGCTTCTGTATACTATTGCTTGACCTTGATAAACGCCTTCTACTTGGTTGCTAGGTTTTTCTGTTGGTCTTCTTCGATCTACTGGAGTCGTGGCAACAGTGGACTATCTCAACACTCGCCCAACTCTCGCAATTATCATCAGCTACTTTAGCTTCATCATCGGGTGTTTTAGTTATCTATTCAACTTCATTCGCTCAACAAAATGGCTTGAGATACCTGCTATATTAGGACTTGTGGCTGCTTTGTTTCTACAAAAGAACTCACAGACCCATGTGCAGAATGTGACCAAGCTCTTCAAACATCCACCGTTTTATGTCCTGGTATCGATAACAGTTGTCTGTTCTATGGGTAGGTATTTTGAGGTTGTTAATTGAAGATGATGCAAAACTTGAATCAATGTGCTGTGATGACCCAGCTGTGGGAGGAACCTTGAATCGATGTGAAGGACGATGTCTCTTATCTGCTAATGGTTTGAAATCACATTTTTAAACCTTCACGAAATGCCCGATCTTGACATGTCCCATTTGCAAATGTGATAACGGAAAAAAACTATGATTCATGCAAGAAAATATTATTTGTATTCTTTTTAAAGAAGATGTTTGGTATCACTTTCCAATCTTTTACGAAAATAGTATTACCTCAATCTTACAAACGGGTGGGGTAGCCTCGTGGTTAAATCGTTCTCTCATCACGGGCGTTCAGTTTGTGAAGCCCATTCTGGCGTCCCCTGCCGTGATAGTGCTAAAAGCGGCGTAAAAACACACTCACTCACTCATAGACACATGATTATGATATAACCGGAATCGTACAATAGGCTCAGAAGCAATCACTTTCAATGTCGTATTGGCCAATGCTTGTGTTGGTCTTATTTTTTACAGTTGTGCTGTAAATGTATATGTTATTCTATGCCAGATTATAAGACTCATGGATGCATTTATGTCTGACAGGGATGGCAAGCATTTTGACAGCAGTCGTCATCTTACCGCCTTATAGAACGTGGACGATCATTGCGGTGTGCGGCTTCTTCGTTATCGAGATGATCGTGCTGGTTGTTCTGTTGGTCATCCGAAACTTCCTGACAGAGTGTCTGAAAAGGTCAGCTCTTTTATCCATGGGGCTATCGGCCGTAGGTGTTGGCGTCGTTACCACTGCCCACAAGGTGACTCATCCTGTTTTTTGGGGTGTCGGGATTGGATTTGCCTTTGGTGAGTAAACTAATGAATCTACTCTACGCACTCCGCAGTACTCCATAGTTCTGGAGACTGACTATTTAATCATCTTAGAGAGGGAGGGTGCTTGCAATATATATTATGCATCAGACTTGCGAAAAGGCAAGATGCGTCAACTCACAAGTTCTAGGTTTGTCAACTCTATACCTTCGGGGGGAGAATTCACCGGGATGATAAACTTCGAAGACCTGCATCCCTTCTTCCTTTCCTTCCACAATGAGCAGATGATCGTGATGTTAATCACCGGATTGTCTGGTCCAGACCATATTATTTTCAGACCGCCGCCATACACCTGGAAAATTGCTGAGAGCGGCGTTAAACAACACACAGACGCACGCACCCACGCACCCACCCACGCACGCACGGACATATTCACACACACACTGAAGTTCCAGATCTGTGCTGGCAATGGTATGCAGTTATCTGTTTTGTCCGAAAGAGACAACTGAATGCTTAAAGACTTGAATTCTTGTTCCAGTGCTCTCCCAAGTAATGTTGCCAATAGCGTTGATCAGCACTACTGAAAGAAGCAGCCTGAAACTGGCCCTCCCACTCTTGAGCTGCTTTCATTTGATGGGATTAGTTGGCGGTGTCATTATTGGTGGGTTGCGTCCTCTGTTTCTATAGTTTGATGGAAGTTTTGTTTGTGTTTTTATTTAACGCCGCACTCAGCAATATTCCAGCTATATGGCGTTTGTCTGTGAATATTTTAGTCTGGACCAATCCAGGGATCAACAGCATGAACATCGATCTACGCAATTAGGATATGATGACAGATGTTAACCAAGTCAGCGAGTTTGACCACCCGATCCCGTTAGTCACTGAAGACCAATTCTAACAGGAATCTTCATGGGTCTCCAGCCATTTGATGTCGGTCTGTAAAAAATCGAGGCTAGACCTGACCATCCTATCCCTGACATCATGAGCATCAATCCAAGCATCAACCACATCTTAGTCGCCTCTTAGGATACACATAGGTTGCTGAATGTCAATTCTATCCCGGTCTTTGGGGGTCAGTAGACCTGTAAAGCAGGGATCCTTGTCAAACTGACAAGATGAACATGAATGCATGTTGTTCACTGGTCCCTCAGGACCTTGGGCTGATGTACCCTCGATGTTTGTAAACTTATGTTCCCTGAGCCCTGATGTACCCTCGATGTTTGGTTATGTTCCCTGAGCCCGAAGGGAGAGGGGGACATAAAGAAACATAGAGGGTATATCAACCCATGGGACCAGTGAACAACGTATTTATCTTACCGAACACCGCAATGTTAATTTTGAAATGTTTGCAGCACGGGTATCGGATCATAGTATGGAGTACCAGACGACAAGACAAGAAAAACAAATTTAAAGTTATCTCCCTTCTATAGATATGCATTCGCAAAACATCGGTAATTTCCGTACATCATACGTGATTCAATGTGATTCGAGATAAAGAATTACTACTAAGAAGTACCAAATGAGTTCGGCATTCCCAGCGGGGTACATAGAAAATGTTACTCGCTTGTAAGCGGGGTACATTGAAAATAATAGAAGAGCGCTCAGCCAATCAGAAAACGACATTTATGTGTGAGGCATGATAATATTTAATGTTCGAATTATGACAATGTGTTTTGAACTGCATGACCTATACGGATACTTTTTATAGACCTTCTTCCCAATAAATGTATCTCTTTAAGCAGAGACCATATAATAGATCTATCATATGGTCTCTGCTTTAAGGTTTTGAAAGTCAAACTTGATCAGGGTGAAAATCTACAGTTTGAAATGAATTTAGGATATTCAGCAATTGTAGTGAATAAAGGCTAACTGAAAGTTCTCAGAATCATGGTGTTTTATTCAGTGTCAATAATGTATTTGAAGGACTGCTATAAAAACTACCCATCAAAACTTTAGACTCACTTAAAGCACTCACTGTATGTTATGTATATATATGTGGTTACATCGACGATGAATTTCTCCACTAACTTGGGGGAACCACCTTATGCAGATGAATTGCACGAGGATCGTGCATCAAATTACTGAAAACCATGAGCAAATATTGTGCATGTGAACAGTTGCGTTTTGGTATAAAGTATTGTTAAGAATTCACCAATTGGCACTGAGTTTCATCATTTATTGAACTCATGACGATAATCTTTTCAACTTTACGAATTTGCTTTATAATACATCAGTTCATGTGTAAACAGTACCTTTAAACAGTATGGAATATTTTGCAAAATCTAGTTTATAACAAGATATGTTTATGGATTAAACTTCTTTATAATTTCCCTCACGACGTTTCGAGACCATTCCAGGTCCCTTCATTCCCTTCAGGATTTCCCGTGAGGGAAATTATAAAGAAGTTTAATCCATAAAAATATCTTGGACATCAATGTACAGCTTCTAAATGCCACTGAAAGACATAGTTTATAACAGTTGACTGAAGTAAGTGGCTACATTTACACTAGTGAGTCTAAACTTTTGATGGGTAGTATATTAACACATCCTACCCCTGTAGTTTCCTAGCTTGATTATACTGCAGTTATTGAATCACTTGGACTTCCATTGGGTAAATAACCGCTTCATTTTGATAATTGTTTTAACCCCTAGTAATGTGATTTATCATGACGTACGCGCTTTCTCATTTCCCCTCATTCAAATATATTATAGGGATGAATTATAGCAACAGTTACTGTGTTACTGTCGCAATGTGTTTGACACATTTTTCTCTGTCGACTTTTCACACAGTATTTAAACGGTATGGCTAGTTTGACTTCAAACATATTTAGATACGTAACACAACATTCATTAGCGTAATTTCAAATGTACAGAGTCGTGCAAAAAGTATTCGACACTTGACGTAATTTCTATAGACTTACATGTTAATTTAGTGTAGCATAAATAATTTTTAATGAATTTAATTTTCATAAGATCGAAGTCAAATTTCGCACAATTGTGAGGAATCATCTTACCTACAATCACATAATTTCTGTTTAATTTTCTGTTGCATATTTATCGAATGGCAACACTTTAATCAACATATGTACAGTGCTGTGCACTCCTTTAACATGGCGGCCTATGGGATTGTGCATTGTGGAACCATACGTAAGTTGATAAATGTGATGTCATTAGTTAAATAGTGGTCGGAAAATTGAACTGAAATTATGTGTGCAGAGCAGAGATGATTTCAAATTTGCCTGTCAAATTTTACAAAGATCCATACTAAACTCACTTCATGAAAATTATTTATGCTATACGACTCTGTGCCATAAGCATTTCCAGTTCGCTGTAAAACAAAATCATGTTTTCGACATGTTGCAAATGGATCTAAAATATTAGTGAACACTAATGTTACGGTTCCATGTTTGAAGGATTTCTATACAGAATTTGGGGACTATTTTGGTTTTTGTTGTGGATCTGTTTTGCCACGTTAACATTTCTGAAATACACTTGTACTCACTGCGGCTCAATATTTATTTTCAAATCTCCCTCTTTCATAGTTTATGGACGTTGTGTGAGTGGCGCGTTACCGGCTCGGCAGGGCATGCTTAATTTGTTGCGAACACCTGGTGTCACTAACGGATTTTCAGTGACACACTCATGTAATTTTCATCGCTAGTTTGTCTTTTACGTGCACTTGTATGCGTCTGTTTCGTCGGATAAGTTCTGGCGTTTACTTTTCATATCTGCCTGTTTAAAACCGAGAAAATATTCAGCGTATAATATAAATTCTAAAAGCGAGATTATCCAAAACAAAATATGATACTTAAGGAATAATGTACACAATTGCAGATAGAACAATCATTTTGCACATGGACAAGTGAAGGTCCGGGTTAGAACTGATCTCCAGTAACCCATGCATGTCGTAAGAGGCGACTAAAGGGATCGGGTGGTTAGGTTCGCTGACTTGGTTGACACATGTCATCGGTTCCCAATTGCGCAGATCGATGCTCATGCTGTTGATCACTGGATTGTCTGGTCCAGACTCGATTACTTACAGATCGCCGCCATACAGCTGGGATATTGCTGGGTGCGGCGTAAAACTAAACTCACTCACTCAATTTGCACGTGAAACTAAATATGGATTAGCATGGGTTACTAGTTGTTTTACATGTAAATCATCATGAAATAATAAACCGTAATAGCAAGTTGTAATACTCGGGTATACAATCAAGTGGCTCAAGAGAAGGGTACATAAATTCAAGTAAAATTATAACATGATTTATTAAACATGTTTTTGTTTCGTACGTGTCAAAGTTTCTTTGAGATTCTTATTATATTTATTAAGTTATTATCACAGATTATTATTTCATGCTGATATACATAATAGTCAGTAATCCATATGTTTTCCGTATTTAGTTTCATGTACAAAATTAATACATTCCATCGTTGATTAATATCGACTATAGATATTTATCTGTGCTCCCATCGGATTTTAGTTGTAACCATGGAGATTCCTTATAGTAACTGTCTCAGAAATGTTTTATCCTTACAACAACATCTACCATTGCCATTTTAGGAAACATCCTTGAGGATACATCGTCAGGTACTGGAGCCATGTATTTCGAAGGAGTGTCTATGATCGTTGGCGGAGTTGGAGCCATCATTGCATGGGTGTTGTTGATAAGACGCGGGCCCCTTCCCAGTGATGAGCCTGCCGAAAACATCAACGATGAGGAGGGAGATGACGCTGGTGATGGTGAGAGAGAGGACCATGTCGAGGACCATGTCGAGGACCAAGTCGAGGACCACGTCGAGGTGGAGGCTGAGTTCTCTCGCAATTGATACATCCCTACATGACCAAACTGGTGCTGTAGAGGTAGATTGTTACACAACAGAAACACCATAAATAAGTAACTTTACGATATCCGAGGAGGATTTCAAGTGTCTCCTCAAGCCTAGTTTGCATTGCCTCTCACAAGACTCTTAGGATTTTGTCTGTACATTTGTTCTTTGACTTTTTCTAATTTTGTCAAAGTGCCACTGAGCATCTATTGATGGATACTAGGCGCCATATAAATCAGTTATTATTATTATTATTATTACAGTTTGGTCACATATAATACAAATTCAACGCAGGCGAAATTGTGAAAAATAACAATGCAGATCTATTATTCCTGGAGTTATTATTACATTAGAATTTGTCTTTCAATACAAGTTTTTTATGGTGCAGCTTTGAACTTTATGCCTGTTATAGAAATGATAAACATGTCTGCCAAACACTTTCTGAAGTAGGTTGAAATTATAAAAACAGGAAGTATTTCGAAATGTTTGTATTGCATTCATAACAAGTATTTCAAAGGATACGTGTGTTATCAAAAGCGATGTTATCTTGTTATGTATATATCATCTTCAGTTTCTGAATAACACTATCGGCTTCCTGCCAAGGGGCGGTGGGGTAGCCTAGTGGTTAAAGCGTTCGCTCGTCACGTCGAAGACCCGGGTTCGATTCCCCATATGGGCACAATGTGTGAAGCCCATTTCTGGAATGCCCCGCCGTTATATTGCTGGACAATTGCTAAAACCGGCCTAAAACCCAACTCACTAACTCACTAACTCACTCACTCACCTGTATGAAAGTCTTAATTTTGAAGCCATTTTGAAACATTTTAGTGGGAACCTGTCATACTCCGAGGTGTTTGAGTTCATATGGAGCTGCCACGAACTGGGTAGATGTTTCTGCTGGTATGGTGAAGTCCAGGAGTTGTCAAATACAAAAGAAATATTTGTTTGTTGTTAAACGCCGCATTTAGAAGTATTCCAGCTATATGGCGGCGGTCTGCATATAATCTAGTCTGGACCAGACAATACAGTGATCAACAGCATGGCATCGATCTACGCAATTGGGAACCGATGACATGTGTCAACCAAGTCGGTGAGCCTAACCACCCGATCCCCTTAGTCGCCTCTTACGTCAAGCATTGGTTACTGAAGATCAATTCTAACCCGGATCTCCACGGGTCAAGGATATGTTACTGAAGATCAATTCTAACCCGGATCGTCACGGGTCAAGGATATGTTACTGAAGATCAATTCAAACCCGGATCTTCTCGGGTTTTACCCTTTTGTCAAACACCCAGTGTCGTAACAAAATTTCAGTGATCCATTCAAATATTTTTCACAGCTTTTTTCACCAAATGGAATCTGTTTCTGATAATAGTGAAGAAAGGTTATTCTTTTGCATTACGGTTTAACATTGCTTGTTTTTATACGCTTTATGTTTTCCGGAACAACATTCTGTACTGGATAAATCACCTTCAACAAACAAAGTTTATCCTTTTATCTGTTTGTGCTTGAATAACCAACCGCAATTATACTCATGCCAATAATGGTTGTCACCCCTTCCCACCCCAACCCCCCACGCACCTCACACCCCCTCTCCAATTAAAAAACTTGCAGGGGGTGACAACCATTATTGGCATGAGTATAACTGCGGTTGGTTACGGGATGAAAACGTTATTTCCAATTACAAAGAACACACCTGTAATAGTATTTAATTCAATAAAGACAGTGTTATGCTATACACATATATGATTTTAAAATAGGTCATTACTTTCTTAGATGAAATATAATTCAGACAAATCTAAAACAATAATACAAGGGTGATAACTCCATGATTTACTTTATACATACAAAACACATTATGAGGTAATGATTCGGGCATTTGAATGCAATACACATGCCCAAATACCATAGATCCAAGACACAGTATTACATAAACGTATATAGCAAATACAAAGTAATTAATACCCGGTATTTGCCTCTAGCGTATAGTGAACATCCAGGTTAGAATTGGTCTTCAGCAACCCATGCTTGTCATAAGGGGCGACTAACGGGATCGGGTTGTCAGGCAAGCTGAGGTGGTTGACACATGTCGTATCCCAGATCGATTCTAAAGATCACAATCACTGGATTGTCTGGTCCAGACTCGATTATATACCAACCGCCGTCACAAAGCTGGAAATTGCTGCGTGCGGCGTTTAGAAGAACCAAACCAAACAAACAAAGATTTTGGTACAGAAGTACGGCGCTGCCAAGTCATATGCTCAATCGAACCTCTAATCTGTATAGAGAATAAGCAACGTTAAAGTTATGGTAACTACAAATCGATATATCTTTTATAATTAATTTACAAAACCATTACACTTCACCAGGCGACTGAAGAAAACAAATGAGAGGAAGATGATGGCTGCGAACGCGTTGCTGAAATTAATCCTGCAGATGAATACACTGAATGAGTTCACAGTCTCGTATTGTGAAATTAACCCTGCAGATGATTACATTGAATCAGTTCACAGCCACGTATTGCTGAAATTAACCCTGCAGATGGTTACATTGAATCAGTTCACAGCCACAATTTGGCACGGCTCCCAAGGCCGAAAGCTATGATTACAATGCCATTTAGAAAGTAGTCAAATGCAAGATATGTTATGTTTGGGATTACACTTTCTTTATAGAGTACAAATTCTAGCACTTTTTTGTGAAAGTCGCGGTGGCTGAGCGGGTTAGGCGGCTGACTGTGTGTGCTGGCGATTTGGTGCCTGACTCTGAGGGCGTGGGTTCGAATCCCGGACCCAAAAAGTCCTAGAATTTATACTCTACTAAGAAAGTGTAACCCAAACATATGTTGCATCACAAAAGCTCATTTGTCTATCCAAAAGTATTATCAGTTCGTTGTGTTAAGGCAATACCGTTACCAGTCCAAGATATTTAAACATATTTCTGTATGCAGAATTGTATCCCATTTGATCTGCATAACTTCGCGTTTACTCCCACATAAGTGAGTGAGTGAGTTTAGTTTTACGGCGATTTTAGCAATATTCCAACAATATCAAGGCGGGGGACACCAGAAATAGGTTTCACACATTGTACCCATGTGGGGAATCGAACCGGGGTCTTCGGTGTGACGAGCGAACACTTTAACCACTACCCCACCTCCTTCTTCCCACATGAAGCAGAGACGCTTTAGTATAGCTGCAATAGTCGGCTCCGTAAAACCCACCTTATTCCTTTATTCAGTAAAGAAACCAGTGGATGTATTATAATATCATCGCTCCTCATGCCAAATACCCAGGTTCGATTCCCCACATTGGTACAGTGTGTGAAGCCTATTTCTGGTGTTACCCAGTTGACTCCAACACTTTTTACATTTAAAAGAAATAACACACAAACACAACACACAAATGGTTTAACTTATATAATGTTTCCCAGACATTGACTCATATATGTCATCATTTGTCAAATCTCTTCTAAGAAAAAACTTCATTAACATTGACACAGTAAGTGAGTTGCAAGTTTACATCGCATCGGCAATATTACAGCCATATAGGGTAATCAATTTTAAAATAGCTGTCGACAAAGGACACTTAAACCATCTAGACTGTCACAGATATGTATTTAAAACTAGTAATTAAATCTAAAGTACTTTTACTATAGAGGACGATGCAATATAAAAAAACAGGCTATATAACTGAAGGTAGATCACTATACTAGGGACCATGGGGACTTACAGTGCCTTTGCTACCTGCATGGACCCTAGTTGGATTTACGACATCCCTTCAGCTGCTGGGGATGGTAATGACACAGTAATGCCAAAGAGAATAATTCTTCTCACAATACTTTATTATTATGTCTAAGAATGTGCTGAAAATTTGATAAAATACCTAAACAGGTTAGGGATTAGGTATATCCCCTGACATAACTTCCCTGTAACAGATGCACGTTGTTACCTTTTTCCTTAGTTGCGAAGTAATGATACTACGTACCATTCTATTCTATAATTTATACGTTTTCATACTTCTGGTGTTACATGAAGATTCAAAAGTTGGACCAATAAGTTAACTGGAAATCACCCTGTAAAAAAACATGGTGTGAAACCAACCACAAACAAAGGTAAAAATAACAATTGTATTTCAAAGGTACCAAAGTTTACCAATCAGTACAAAGGAATATAACAACAGCGTAAAATAAGACGGCTATACAGAGGCAATAGCAGAGCAATATAAAAGCAGTGATTAAAGTAATACAGACTGATGAAAATAGTCACCTTGCTGCAGTACTACTCAAACTTCCAAAGTAAGCCTTGATCTAACACAGAAGCTTGTCCTCTTGTGCTTTGAGATGTAATGCGAAATTGATCATATGAAAACAGCTTCTGAACCAGACAATCCAGTGATCAACAACATTAGCATCGATCTACGCAATTGGGATATGATGACATGTGTCAATCAAGTCAGTGAACCAGCCTACCCTCTTACAACAAGCATGGGTAACTGAAGATCATTATTCTAACCCGGATCTTCACGGGTGCATACTACGAGAGACCATTAAATACAGGTTTGAAGAGTTTTTCACTCTATGTTATGTTCCTGATGAAAACGTCAGTCTACGTTGTTAAGATTTACCGTACCTCATATCAAACGCTGACTTCACATATATCTTTCCACTCGTCACGCCAAAGCCAGGGGTTCAATTCCTCACATTGGCACATGTGTGAAGCCCAGTTCTAATATTTCTGGAATAGTGCTAAAAGCGGTGTAATTACAAATTCACTCACTCACTCACTCACCCACTGAACACATATAGCCTAACATTTATGTCATTGACTGATATGAATATTTTATAAATGAGTGAGTGAGTTGCGTTAATGCCGCTTTTAGAAATATTCCAGCAATATCACGGCGGGGGACACCAGAAATGGGCTTCACACATTGTGCCCATGTGGGGGAATCGAACCAAGGCCTTCGGCGTGAATAGCGTTAACAACTAGGCTACCCCACCGCCCGTTGTATAAATGAACCATATCAAATACAGTATACCCAGTCAAGCACTTAAACGCCGGAACACAAAGTCAGTGTTCCTGTCACGGTGTGTGTTGTCCAAAGGTTCCACAACGTCACTTTGGAAGTACAGTACTGTGGTGTGAAAGCAAGCCTTTCTTACCTAAAGAACATGTGTAGAAGGTTTTACTGTTAAGTGAGATCGATTATAAATATACTCGTGGAAACAAATAAAGGAACACATGAAAGAACATGTGTTCCTTATGCTTTTCCGGCTTTTCACCCACAGTGAAAAATAAAACATGAAAAACTTGAACACGTTTGCTTTCATGTGTTCTCTTATTTGTTTCCATGAGTATATGTACTGAACAAACTGGTGAACTCAACAAAGTTATCCGTACACATTGAACAGCGAGCGGAGTTCGCTGGGCGAACACTTCACCAGTTTATGCTCGACCATACAGTGGAGGCCTTTTGACGTCCCCCTGACGTACGCCGCTACCCGCCCTACACCACTAAACGTCAACACCAGAACGTCACACGACATCAGCACATGCTGGTCCAGGATGACCTTCTTCCAGCCATCGCACCGAGATTTTCTATCAGTGTCCCGTTCAATATGGGACACTTTTCCTTCGCTTTCCATAATTTGGCTTGGAAATAACGTCCGGGCTTGTTGCATGACAGTTTCGGAGTCGGAAGTGACAAATATTTTGTATGTTGAAGGATCACTAAAATTTCGAAAGAATTGCCAAATCTTTTGAACATCTGACATCGTAGCTCCCCTAGGGATTTTACTGTCATTTGGATTTGAAGGATTTCTAAAAAGTCGAATCTGTGTACAAACGAGCTTCGATGATTCCTTGGGTTTAGCTCTTGCTAGAAACCGGGATAGGGTTTCTTTCAAAGATGCGGATAAAGAGAATAGAGTCTTGTATGCTGTGGCAAAGACTTGGTCCCTTGTCTTATTTTCCATCCATGAGAATTCTTTCCGATGAACTCTGTTGGCCTTGAGGGCATCAACATAGTCCAAATTTGCAAGAAAATATGCAATGTCATGTTTCAACCAGGCGCTAAAATTCAGAGTTCTCGATTTGCTAATGAAGCTGACTTTGCCCATCTCATTGTACACACCTACTGACCTGTCATCTCGCGAGACTTCAAAGCGGGCTTCATCCCAGGGAACAGAGTTCTGTGTTAGGAATGACGTCAGGTTACGCGGTAGAGATGTAATGTCGATACTAAACTTTCTACGCGTTGCCATGGAGATGTAGAATCCCATTAAAATGCCTTTTAGTCTATCGGACCATCCACCACAGACATTAGATTTAGCACACCTATATATAAGATACTTAGTGTCTGACATATGGTGAGCGTTCATCTTGGATTGTCTCCCATCTAACATTGGGGTCAAGGTCAAGTCTCCATTTGAACCTTTAGATATTTTTACGCCATTCTCAGATCGAACGTCTTCTCCGGAAGTGGTCAATCTGTGTCCAAGTGTGTTTGGGACTCTCTTTCCAGAAGGCCGTGAGTAAGTCTCCAAGTGGTTGACGGCGATAACAATAAAGGTAACTGAAACACCGACCGTTAAGAACAGAACTGATGACTTGAATTTCTGAAACCATAAACATCGGAGAATACATCTTTTTGCAGTGATTGTGCCAATTCTGTCTAAAGTTTGCTTGACTCGATGATGTACCGATCATCCATATGTAGCTGAAATATTGCTTACAGTGGCATAAAATAACATTCCTGCAAATCAAAAACATTCTGTTCATAAAGTTAATAATAGATCGTATTGGGAAGTATTTAGCTACATTACTGCGAATCAGCTTCATTGGTGAGTAAAACACACACTTAGTCATGTGCAGTATTATTTCATTGGGGGCGACGAGGTAACCTGGAGGTATCAACCTGTTTCGTCTAATTTTTAAAACAGGTAAACAGTAGCAATTAGGCTCACACTGACCCATGGAGAAATCACCCATGCGTGGTTAGACAATCCAGGTATTGTCAGGGCCTAAAAATTAGACGAACCAGGTTGTAATAAACCTGGAGGATGGAGTCGTTGCTCGTCACGGATCACGGGTCATAGATCAAGGATTACGGGTCACGGGTCACAGGCTCTATGGTCAATCAAGGGCTTAACACCAAATGCTTGGTGCCTTCCTAAGGTTAACTGTTACAGCAACTAAAACAGGCGCGCAGAGATTTCGAATTATTCCATAGGGTGAGTTTAGTTTTACGCCTCACTCAGCAATATTCCATCTATAAGGCGGCGGTCTGTAAATAATCGAGTGTGGACCAGACAATCCAGTGATCAACAGCATGAGCATCGATCTGCGCAAATGGGAACCGATCACATGTGTCAACCATGTCAGCGAACCTGACCACCCGATCCCGTTAGTCGCCTCTTACGACAATTTACCGATTGAAGTGAGTAGGTGACACAAACGTTAAACCGAAGAAACAATGAGTAAAATCTGTTGGCCATGAATTTCTTTACATTTTTCTCTGCCCTTTCTTCAAAATATCATCGCAAAAGTTATATCCCAAACCATTATCATTAAAACCCCAATGTGTTAAAATTTACTATCCGGCTTTTGGTCGAGTATTGAATGGCATTAAGAAGTGATACACATGAAGGAGAGATTATATGGAGAGATTATATGGGGTGATTATATGGAGAGATTATATGGAGACATTATACGCGCAACTTCTCCATGTGTACTACGGAAGTGTATATCTGTTCATTCTCTCCTTTAATCCACTCCATGCTGTTGTCGAACCAATTCGACAGGAGAAAACTAAAATGACAAAAACAAATAAAAGGTGCAATAACTATTTACCCAGTAGGATTTACGTGGCATTTGAATTATGCATGAATGCATGAACGCGCAGCTTCCTAAATATATACACTTTATCAACGGCCATTGTTGACTTCAGGCACTTCACGTGGTACTCGGGCGGTGGAGTAGCCTAGTGGTTAAAGCGTTGGCTCGTCACGCCGAAGACCCGGGTTCGAATCCCCACATGGGTACAATGTGTGAAGCCCATTTCTGGTGTCCCCCGCCGTGATGTTGCAGGAATATTGCTAAAAGCGGCGTAAAACCAAACTCACTCACTCACGTGGTACTCAGTCTGATATTTTCTTCTTAATGTAACCATCATATATACTTTGAACAATATTTGTTGTTCTGTAGTGAAGGGAAAACTTTGAAGCTCTCATTTTCTAAAAAGGTAACACCTTTGGGTTTAAGTACTTAAAAGCGAAAACAATCCCTACTGGATGAATAGGAACAATCAAGGCAACGGCGCTAAACAAACAACTACACATGCATAGTGATATCGAAGAAATATTACTGCAATCCTTTTGATACGTCCAACTATTTTTGATGACCACATGGTCTGATTGCGTACCGTTAAAAGTCTTTGTAAAAATATAATATTTATATCATGTTTGAAATGATTTCGTTAGATTTCGACTGTTGTCAGCCGCAGGTAGGGAAACGTAGAAGGGACATCGGATGAGAAAATAAATATCAATAGTAAGGCGTGGGCACGAGATAATATGTCGAGGACATGAGATGATAGGGCTTGGCTATGAGATATTGAGGCGTGGCCACGAGATGATAACTCGTAGGCACGAGATAAATAAGGCCTGGTCATGGAATAATTTGAGTTCATAATAATGTATGGAACCGTAGAAGGGATATCGGATGAGAAAATAATATGAGTAGTACAACCCTACATACACCACAGCATAAAACTCTTGCGGGGGATTAGATCACATCTCCCTGCTGAAGTAAGATGGTACCGAGAACTCCCAGATGACTTGAAGTATCACTGTGGTAAACCAGTTGAAACCTGGCATCCGACAAAGTTTACTGACAGTGGTCGTTCAACGAATTAAGAGTAAATTCATAACGATAGTCGGAAAGTGTCATAAGAAAGGTGTCCCGCTACATAGTGTCCAACTTACTCCAGTGAAATAACAGGTTACTCTACTCGGTGAAAATAACATTTGTATTTTCACCAATATATACAGTATTTCATCCTTAAGAATATAATAAATAATGGTATTACATCTACCTAAACATCACTGTGTAACCGGTCCTACCTCTCTTCCAATGATGTTCTTAATAGATTCCAATCTCTGGATGGACTATGGCGCACAAGAAACATCCATTTATTATTATTATGTTTTACAGATTAAAGATAGTATGCAGCAGAGAGGGTTCGGGTGATCCGGACACAGTCTTCTCAGGGCCCTTGCCCCCTCTACACGCAGCCTGGATAGCAAATGGGACTTCTCCCAGGAAACGCTGCATAATCGAACCCACCAAGAACTTTCCAGAGACTCCCCAACAGTGCAACCTTCTGCATTACCCAGAGTGTCAGAAGTGTTTTGCTCCCGGTGAAGATTCCGGCCCCCTCCTGATCTGCGCCAAGAGATCAGGAGGTACCAAACCAAGGGCACAATGGGGAGCCTGACGACTGTGTACTTGGGATGCAAGCGAGACATTTCAAAGGCGAGGTCCGCATATTAAGCATGGTTTTCCTGATTCTTGCCAATTACGTTGCTGTCAAAAGGGACAGAAAATTCAATGATATAAATATATTCATTAGCTTTATCAAAAAGAACAAGATCAGGTTTGTTGTTTGGAATTATTCTGAGGTAGTATATGGTCCTATTCCAAAGAAGTTTGAAGGCATCATTTTCCATGATGCCCTGGACATGTTCAATGTCGTAACATGGATAGACCTCGGAGTCAAGGCCACAGGCATGGCGAAGACGATAATAGAAGCACCGAGCCATGCCATCGTGTCGTTTAAGATATGCTGTTTGTGCCAAGGAAGGGCATCCACTGACAAGGTGTTGGACAGTCTCTGTACATTCATTGCAAAGTCGACATTTCATATTGATATTTGGTTTAAGAATCACAGTTTGGCGATTGCGAGTGGGAAGTGACTTGTCCTGGGCAGCAAAAAGAAAGCCCTCAGTTTCACATTTAAGACCAGCCGACTTCATCCAGGCGAAGGAGTCGGTTGGATTACCATTCGGTTCCACATACTGCATGTACACACGATGCAATGGATTCTCAGAACGTTTCTCAATAAATGACCGACTCTGGGCAGACTTGGTGAATAACCTCACCTGGTTTACTCCCATCGCTGTACCGTCCAGCAGTACATTGCCTTCAACAAAATCAACCTCAAATTTCAATTTCTGTCCAACAACCTTGACACACTTAAAATAGCTGTGGAATTCCTTGCCTTACTTTCATCATGAGTCTTGACATGCATCACCAAAGCATCATCCGATAAATAAATAATAAGAAGAAGAAGAACACACTAAAAGAGCCTCCACATTAATCAAACCCCGACCTCCCGAAATGATTGGCATATATAAACGATTAACAGAGGAACGAGATTGGTGGGCTCTGTTGTCTGACATGATCCTTCTGGTCAGGTGGTCAAGACTCTGGATGTCTTGTTTTGTCCAATCAGCTACTCCAAAGGAATAGGAAAGGACTGGCACAGCAAAAGTATTGGTGGTTTTGGCCTTGTTTCGAGCATTTAGCTCTGAGCTCCAGATTTTCTTGAAGCGAGATTTATACTCAGCCCGGAGTTTGTCTTGAATCTGGGCATTCTGGAGGTTGTCTCGAACTTGCATTCCAGGATAGGCGTAGGCCTGATCTTCCATAAGATGCTCAATAACTCCCCCCGTGTAACTTGACTGATCCATCATTAGTTACCTTGCCACGTTTCAGATGAAGAGTATTACATTTGTCGAGTCCAAATGCCATGCCAATATCATTAGAAAAGGACTCGACAAAGAGAACCTGTTGCCTCTGGCAAGGAGCTCGATGTCATTCATGCAAATGTGTTATTATTAAATATCACTGTATAGAGTTTCAAAGAATAGTGTTTGAAGCGAACACGTTGCTCAAAGTGATGCCCTCTTTTCTATATTCTCAACATAGTTGCTTTACCACAAGCGTTCGGTCCGGCTTTGCACGGGCTCTCAAAAGCACCTAAAAAGCATTACTTTGCAATGTTACAAATGTGTGTCAAATGTAGAGATAACTGGTCCATTAAAGTGAAGCCCTTTTCCCTCTCCACTCCACTCATTTAAACGTGTTTAGAGTCTGATCGGTCCGGCTTTGCACGGGCTCTCAAAAACTCCTTAAACCTCACACATGTATCCAGATTTGTATTCATATCTATATAAAGGCATTACATCTACCTAAATATCAC